TATCAGAGTTTGCTTGAGTTGGGTCCATATTTTCCGGCACACCTTGCACAATGATATTTCGTCCACAAAAAAACGTCTCGCGATATTCCTCAGGGATGTTCCGGGTGAGATTTCGTTCAGAATACGGTATGTCAGGCGGTATTCTTACGTTCCCATCGGACTTCAGTAAGTGACTGGCTAGCAGGACGTCCTCTACGTTGGAGGCATTCTTAAGTGTAACATGAAGCAGCCTCGGGTGGTTTAGGTTATTAGAGTCCTTCCCCCGAGTGAGCCGTGTGACGGTCAAAGGCTCTATTCAAGGGAGTTCAAGCCTCTTGTTTAATTCTCCCCAGAGCATCCTATCATTTTTGTCCTGCAAACTGAGAGGAAGGTCGGGGTTGTCAATAAGGTTCATGATTATGACAGAGTCGTCACGAACCGTAATTGATTTCCCAGGTTTTCCAGGGCGTCTAGGTTTGGTATCTTGTTGTTTGGATGTCGAGGCGCGTTTTCGTTCCCTGGGCTCAGTGATGACCGGGCGGACAGTCTTGGGGGTAGACTGTGCAGCCAAAGCGTCAACTGATTTCCGCACGATACTTGGGACGTTCGGTTTCGGCGGGGACGCTTGCGCTTTATTACTCCTGTTAACGTGAGTCCATCCACCTACAGGATTTTTGGGAACTACTGTCTCATTCAAGGACCGTTCCCTGGGGGACCCAAGTTTACTGAGGGAGTCGATGTTAAGATGGTGCTGAGTTTCAGCACATCACCACTCGTGCTGTTAACAACACTGTCGATAACCGACCTGTCAGTATCCTTTTTCTTGTTTGCCCTATGCGTTCCAGCTTTGTTACCCGTCATGATGCTATCATTTACCAAATTCTTGGACAACTTATCTCTAAAACCTGTCAATAAAGTAATGATGGTACCCAACATAACTACCGTATCAGTGTTGCAGGTAACACATACCCACCTACGATCAAACTTTCTGAGTCTGCTATAGGCTGTTGCTGTTAGATCTGTACATGCCTCATGGAACCAACCTTTACAGTTGTCACATTGCATGCCAGATGTAACGGCAAAATGGCAACCAGGTCTTTTGCATGAATTTTTCATGGCTAGTGATTTACTTACTTACGCCTGTTACCCCTCGTCGAGGAGCATAGGCCGCTCACCAGCATTCTCCATTCAACTCTGTCCTGAGCCTTCCTTTCCAGTTACTATTCAGCCTTTTCATATCGGCTTCTATTTCCCGGCGTAGTGTGTTCTTTGGCCTTCCTCTTTTCCGCTTCCCTTCCGGATTCTAAGTTAGGGATTGAGTCGTGATGCACATTGGTGATTTCCTTAATGTATGTCCGATCCACTTCCAACGTCTTTTCCTAATTTCCTCTTCAGCTGGAAGCTGGTTTGTCCTCTCCCATAAAACGCTGTTGCTGATAGTATCCGGCCAATGGATGTTGAGTATTTTGCGTAGACAACTGTTTAGAAATACTTGTACCCTCCTGATGATGGTCGTAGTAGTTCTCCACGTTTCAGCTCCATACAGTAGGACTGTCTTGACGTTCGTATTAAAGATTCTCACCTTGAAATTAGTTGAGAGTTGTTCTGAGTTCCATATGTTCTTCAATTGTAGAAATGCTGCCCTTGCTTTAACCAATCCTCGCCTTTACATCTGCATCCAATCCTCCTTCTTTATCAACGATGCTCCCTAGGTACTTGAATGTTTCCAACTCTTCCAGAGTTTCGCCATCAAGTGTGATTGGGTTGGTGTTCTCCGTGTTGCATTTGAGAATCTTGCTTTATCCTTTGTGAATGTGGAGACCTATCGATGCGGAGGCTGCTGCTACATTTGCTGTCTTCATCTGCATTTGGTCGTGTGTATGAGAGAGGAGGGCTAGGTCATCTGCGAAGTCCAAATCATCTAATTGATTCTGAGCTGTCCATTGTATTCCGTATTTCCCTTCAGATGTCGAATTCTTCATAATCCAGTCAATCACTAGAAGGAAGAGGAATGGGGAGAGTAGACAGTTTTGTCTGACTCCGGTCCTTACTGGAAATGCATCTGTCAGCTGTCCTCCATGCACCACTTTGCACTGTAATCCATCGTATGAGTTTTGGATAATGTTGACGATCTTCTGAGGAACTCCATAGTGTCGAAGAAGTTTCCATAATGTTCTCCTGTCCACGCTGTCAAACGCCTTTTCATAGTCAATAAAGTTGACGTATAATGATGAGTTCCACTCAACTGATTGTTCAACGATGATCCGTAGTGTCGCAATCTGGTCTGTGCACGACCGATCCTTACGGAATCCAGCCTGATGATCCCTAAGTTCGGCGTCTACTGCGTCTTTCATCCGATTCAGCAGCACTCTGTTGAAAACTTTTCCTGGTACTGATAACAAACTGATACCTCTGTAGTTCTCACATAGGCTCAGATCTCCTTTCTTTGGTATCTTGATGAGATATCCTTCTTTCCAGTCCGTTGGCACTTGTTCCTCTTCCCAAATCTTTTTGAATAGAAGGTGAAGCATGTTTGCAGTTATTTCAATGTCTGACTTCAGTGCTTCTGCTGGTATATTGTCAGGTCCTGCCGCCTTCCCACTTTTGATTTGTCTGATGGCCATCTTGACTTCTTCGATCGTTGGTGGAGTGACATCTATTGGAAGGTCTGTGTGTGCTGGTTCGATGTTCGGTGGATTCAATGAGGCTGGTCTGTTTCAGCAGTTCCTCCAAGTATTCTGCCCATCGTTTCCTCTGTTCTTGAATCTCAGTGATTGTCTTTCCTTCTTTGTCCTTGACTGGTCTCTCTGGTTTGCTATATCTCCCTGCCAATTTCTTCGTTGTATCATATAGTTGTTTCATATTCCCTTCTCTTGCAGCTTTTTCCGCCGTCGTTGCTAGTTCTCCCATGTATTTCTGCTTGTCGGCTTTAATGCTTTTCTTCACTTGCTTGTTTGCTTCTGCGTAGTCTGCTTGTGCTTTGACTTTCTCTGCTCGTGTTCGGCTGTTGTTAATTGCTAGTTTCTTGTTCTTCCTTTCTTGAATTTTGTCCAGGGTTCCCAGAGAGATCCATTCCTTGTGATGATGCTTCTTAGGACCAAGAACCTGCTGACACGTTGAAGTTAGTGCTTCTTTTATCCCTTTCCAGTTGTCCTCCAAAGTAGTTTCTTGTTCTTTCAGTAGATCCTGTAGAGCTTGGAACGTGTTGTTGAGAGTTATCTTGAATTCATGGAGCTTGTCAGCGTCTCGAAGGAAGGCTGTATTGAACCTTTGTAGTGCTGTTTGTTCAGTTGTCCAGTCTTTCTTTAGCTTCAGTCTCATCTTGGCCACAACCAGGTGGTGATCTGAAGCTATGTCAGCTCCTTTCCGGGTTCTCACATCTTCCATTGATCTTCGGAATTTTTTGTTGATACAGATGTGATCTATCTGGTTCTCTGTGGTATGGTCCGGTGAGATCCATGTAGCTTTGTGTATGCGTTTGTGTGGGAATATTGTGCCGCCAATGACCAATTTGTTGAATGCACATAGGTTTGCAAGTCTCTCCCCATTTTTATTTCTCTCTCCTAGTCCATGTCGTCCGATTATATCTTCATATCCTGTGTTGTCCACTCCAACTTTAGCATTTAGATCTCCCATCAGGATGGTGAGGTCCTTTCGTGAGCACTTTGCTACAATTGATTGCAGCCTTTCATAGAACTGATCTTTATCATCGTCGTTGCTATCATTGGTGGGTGCATAACATTGGATAACGTTCATTGTGATCCCTTGCTTCTTTGTTCTGAATGATGCTTTGATTATCCTGGGTCCGTGAGATTCCCATCCCACAAGTGCATTTCGTGCTTCTTCGGACAGCATTAGAGCAACTCCCTGAGTGTGTGGAGCATTTTCCCCTTCGTGACCGGAGTACAGCAGCATCTCTCCTGTACCTAGCCTTTGTTGTCCAGTTTGTGTCCAATGGGTTTCGCTGATTCCGAGTACTGCCAAGTTGTATCTCTTCATTTCCACTGCTATTTGGCTGGTCTTTCCTGTCTCCCACATTGTCCGGACGTTCCATGTACCTATAAAGAGTGTTGCTCTGGTTGTTAGAAGGTGCATCGGTCTCGTGACTTCCGAAGAATTTCGGCTTTCATCATGAGACGTCATTATTCCTTCAACTCCCAGGGCAGAGTTTAAATGGTTTGAATTATTTTTTCTGGTTAGCGTTTTTTAGCGAGTTAGCTTTTCTACGGGATGGGGTCGCTAACCCCATGCCCAACCCTCCTCCTTTACCCGGGCTTGGGACCGGCAGTAACTCTAGAAGAGCTACAGGCGGAGTTGGCTAGTGATTTAGACTGTCTTAAAAATACGAGCAGTAAATTTAGGACCGTTAAAAAAACACACAGTAAACAAAAACTGGCAAAAATGTATAAAGACAGTTAACGATAAGCCAAAGCTAGCCTTTACATGAAAACTATAAAAAAAACCGATAGTGAGCTGAGGCAAAACCACATTTAACTATTAATTTGAGTGAAACACAAAAAAAGTAATCTACCGAACGTATAGCTCAGAATAGATTCTTTAGATCGGAAATGGTACTTTTGTTGCGTAAGAACACAGCAAAAGTTTGAGAAATGTAAATCACGTTAGGACTAAACTTCCCGTTCGGAAAGCGCGCTTCGTTAAGCGCTTGTTAAGCCTAACTGAGCCAAAGAAGATATAAGGGTGTTACGAATTTCTTATGAATACCAAGACGGGTAGTTGACTGGATTCGCTATAGGTTTATGTTCCCGACCAAGTCACATTGTGTAATCGTTGACTCTACAGGTACTCAGACCGTAGTAGATGGTGGAGAGATTAGAATTTTAGTCTACTGTTTAAAAGCCATGTACTCTAGGTAGTAGGTCACTATTTCATTTGATTATACACAGATATGGAGATTGGTGCAATCTAACAATAAATTTTATCTGAAAGACTGTCATACACATTTTTGTTCATTATAATTAATCGAATTTCAACTACTCAGATTCGTTTTATTTCAAGGTATGTTATCGCCAAATGACTCATTGCAACTGACGGATGAGGATGTGACAACATTAAGGAAGTGCAGGCAAATCTCATTTTGGAGAGGCAGTGTCCCATTCTCCATTGGTGCTCTTATAGCTGTTAGTGCTGCTGATAAATATGGATGGTTTTCAAAGCGTAAGATGCTTCGATTACCATCTTACATTCTTGGAGTTACCATTGGTTATTTCGTTGGAAAACTTAGTTACGCGGGAGAGTGTAAACGTATGTTTCTTCAGCTTAACAATAGTCGAATCAAAGATGAAATCCTTAGAATGGAAACTACCGGAACATTTCAACCTACTCCTGGTTCACCTATAATTGTAAATACACCTGTGGAAAATCATCCACCTATGAATTATGAACAACGTAGACGGTTTTATAATAGGCAACTTGAACAATCTACGTCTCCATACCTCAGTTCCAAACCGCAGACAACGATTGAAGAAGAGAATACAACATCCGATAAAAGAAACTCAAACCTGTCGTACTTCGATAATGATAGACCAACTAGTTCATTTTATTATGATACTGATGTCTATCGACCTCGAGAGGAATAATATAACATAAAGAGAAATATGTGCTTTGTGAAACACATTATTGTACGAATAGTAATGTATTTAGTTGTTTTTATTTAACTCCTTTTAGATTTTGCTTCACACTCGGAGATATTGTTTTGGTTAGTAGCATATATACAGATAGTTAATTTATATGTTCATTTATCTATTCAATTATCCCTGTTCAGTGAAGATTTTATTAGTGATTGTAAATACACGTTTTGTGCGAAGTTTATTTGTTCATCAGATAAAATTAAAGGATCTGTACCAGTTTTTGTTTCCGGAAGATGATACTCTCACTGAAACTTGTTTGTCAAGTTTTTGTTTGAGTGTTGGTACTAAGACTTGTGAAGCTGTAGCTTTTTGTTTTCAGTACGTTTATTAATGAATTTTAATTTTACCTTACCGTCACGTGGCAACAGTCCATGAAGACACTGACTATTGAGATGAGCTGTGTAAGTGGGTGTAGACTACCTGGTCGGGGTCCGCAGGATTATCGTAACGAATGGTTATAGACTTTGGTTGATGGCTAAAAACTGTTCAGTAACGCAAGTATATTCATTTTCTGTCTTCCTTCAGGTTCTAAGTTAACTGATAGATCTTGTCTATTCCAATAATTCTTATTTTCTGTTAGACTCGTATCTTCGATGCGTAATATTTTCTGTTGCAAGTAAGAGTGTTACTACCTCCACTACTCTAGGATTTACCGTGCAAGTTCTATCTCGCGGTGCTAATGCTGTGTGGTAATTTGAACGGATGTATACATATGCCAGATTCTACGTTACGTATGATTGACTGACTAATTCATAACTCAGGTAGGGCTTAAAGAAATAATTATTTGGTATCAAATGGTATCTAAAATCTTTTCAATGCTGTATAAAGGACGTGCGATATTGTTCTTTTAGCATCTCCATTTACGTGCCAAGCATCAAATGATTTGACGATAACATAAGCAGTTTTTTGCGCACAAACTACAGATAATTTAGAGATGAAATATAAGAAAAAGGTTTTCTTCATTTTTTAGTAGTGAAACGCATACGCAATTTTAACAAATATATCGAACGGTTATCATTCAACTACTGGTTTCGAACTCTGGTAATATTAGTACAAAGAGCTTGAATTATTGACTCATATTTTGTTATGATTAATTAAAAAAGTATTTGTAGGTAGTTAAATAACACTTGGTCATGAGTTCTGTTATATCCCCCGGTGAATTACGAATTGTAACTTTTAGGTCTATTTATGGATCAATGTAATATGCCTATTTCCTATTGTACAATTATTACGTAACTGAACTATTCGTATTTCTCTTATCATTAGCTTTATTTTGACCTTTGACTTATTATCATACGATTCTTGAGTTATCATCAGTTTGTTGATTACTATTCACAGTCACATTCGGCTAAATATTGTACAAATGTTATTATCTATTTTATGGGTCGATATGGTTTGTTTGTTTGGTATATAAACTCAGTATGTTTGAAATACAATGATTCATACCGCAGGCTGTTATTGGTGTTTTGGACTTAACTGGCTGGGCTAAGCAGATCGCAGGACCGGTTAGCACTCTGGTCTGCTCGTACGGTTTCGTGTGTCACTGTTCCAGTCGATAATTCACGGCTCTCTAATTGGCGGTCACATCAAGTCACCCATTAACTAGTCATCCACTTGGCCACAAGCATAACAAGTTCAAATAGGTTGAAACGACACTGTTAGTTCTATTTCTTCAAGTTTTAATTATTATCAGTTTCCATTTGTATTGTACAATGTAACTTTTCCCGAGATGTCATCATTGAATATCAGGTTTACAAGTTCTTTAAATTTTGTCCTGTCAAAACAAATACTTACTAACGCCTGTTACTCCCAATGTGGAACAATAACAATCAATCGAGTGGAATTCATCACTCTACATCAACTTCATCGACTACGAGAAGGCATTTGATAGCGTGGACAGGACAACACTATGGAGGCTTCTTCGACACTACGGCGTGCCTGAGAAGATAGTCAATATCATACGGAACTCCTATGATGGATTAAACTGTCGAATCGTCCATGGAGGACAAATCAACGACTCATTCGAGGTAAAGACAGGTGTTAGGCAAGGTTGCTTACTCTCACCCTTCCTCTTTCTCCTGGTGATCGACTGGATCATGAGGACGTCAACATCTGGAGGAAATCACGGGATACAGTGGACAGGCAGGATGCAGCTGGACGACTCAGACTTCGAAGATGATCTGGCTCTTCTATCACACACGCAACAACATATGCAGAAGAAAACGACCAGTGTAGCAGCAGCCTCAGAAGCAGTAGGTCTCAATATACACAAAAGGGGAAAACAAGATTCTCCGATACAATACAACGGTGGATCTGATGCAGATGTGAGGGCGAGGATCGGCAAAGTAAGAGCAGCATACTTACAACTGAAAAACATCTGGAGCTCAAAACAATTGTCAACCAACACCAAGGTTAGAATTTTCAATACAAATGTGAAGACAGTTCTATTGTGTGGGGCGGAGACGTGGAGAACTACGAAAGCCATCATCCAGAAGATACAAGTGTTTATTAACAGTTGTCTACGCAAGATACTTCGGATCCAATGGCCAGACATTATCAGCAACAAGTTACTGTAGGAGACAAATCAGATTCAAGCGGAGGAAGCGATGGAATTGGATTGGGCACACTTCGAGGAAGTCACCCGATTGCGTCACAAGACAAGCCCTCACATGGAATCCTGAAGGTCATATGAGAAGAGGAAGACCAAAGAACACATTGCGCCGAGAAATAGAGACAGATATGAGAAGAATGAACAAGAAATGGATAGAACTAGAAAAGAAGGCCCAGGAGAGTGGGTTGGTGAATGCTGGTCGGCGGCCTATGCTCCATTGGGAGTAACAGGCGAAAGTAAGTAAGTAAGATTGTTCCACAATGAGTTGCGATTTGGCCTGTGCATAATCGATCCTTACGAAATCCAGCCTGTTGATCTCGAAGTTGGGCGTCTACAGAATCATTCATTCTGTTTAACAATACCTTGTTGAAGACTTCCTTTTACTGAGAAAAGAGTGATGCCCCTGTAGTTATTGCATTTGATGAGATGGCCTTTCTTTGGTATCTTGATCAGAATTCCTTCTTTCCAATCTGTTGGTACCTGCTCTTCATCCCAAATCTTACTGAAGAGGATGTGGAGTGTCTTTGCAGTTGCTGCTACACTTGCTTTCAGTACCTCTGCCGGAATGTTGTCTGGTCCCGTTGCTTTGCCGCTCTCGATTTGTCTGATGGCCATGCTTATCTCTTCAATTGTTGGTAGGCCAATATCGATTGGGAGGTCTGTGGGTGCTGCTTCGATGTTGGGTGGGTTCAGTGGATCTAGTCGATTCAGGAGTTTTTTAAAGCGTTCTACCCACCTTTTTCGTTGTTCTTCAATGTCGGTAATTATTTTGCCTTCCTTGCTTTTCACTGGTCTTTCTGGTTTACGGTAATTTCCAGCGAGTTTCTTTGTTGTATCATACAGTTGTCTCATGTTTCCCTCTCTTGCAGCCTTTTCCGCTGTCATCGCTAAATCTTCCACATATTTACGTTTGTCGGTTCTGATGCTCCTCTTCACTTGCTTGTTTGCCTCTGTGTATTCGGCTTGTGCCTTGGCTTTTTCCGCTCTGGTTCGGCTGATATTGATTGCTGCCTTCTTGTTCCTCCTTGCTTCAATTTTATCCAGTGTAACAACAGTGATTGAAACGGTTGCCTCCTTGATACCTTTCCAGTTGCTCCATAGTAGTTCCCTCTCCATTGAGTAGATCATGAAAGTCCTGGGACCTGTTTCTGAGGCTATGTGGAATTTGTTGAGTTTGTCGGCATCTCGAAGAAAGGCCGTATTAAACTTTTGTGATGTAGTCCGCGCCGTTGTCCAGTGCTTCTTAAGTTTTAGATTCATCTTGGTAACCAGCAAATGATGATATGAGGCTATATCAGCTCCTCTCCTGGTCCTCCTGAACTTTTTGTTGATGCAGATGTGGTCGATTTGATTCTGTGTAGTGTGATCCGGTGAAATCCAAGTGGCTTTGTGTATGTTTTTGTGTGGGAATATGGTGCCACCTATGACCAGTTTATTGAAGACACATTGGTTTGGAAATCTCTCACCATTTTCTTTCCTTTCACTCAGTCCCATAACGTATCCAGTGTTGTCCATTCCAACCTTGGCATTGAAATCTCCCATCAGAATGGTCAGGTCCTTTGCTGGGCGCTTGTGATCGATTGACTGCAGCTTATCGTAGAATTGATCTTTAGCGTCTTCATCGTGGTCGTTGGTAGGCGCATAGCATTGGATGACGTTCATTGTAATGCCCTCTCTCTTTGTTTTGAAGGAGGCTTTGATGATCCTTGGTCCATGGGATTCCCATCCAATAAGTGCATTTTGTGCTTTTCTGGACAGCATCAATGCAACTCCTTGTGTATGTGGGTCATTTTCTTCTTCATGACCTGAGTATAACAGAAGTTCTCCTGAAGATAGTCGTTGTTGTCCAACCTGCGTCCAATGTGTCTCACTGGTTCCAAGCACCTCCAGGTTGTATTTTCTCATTTCTGCAGCAATTTGGAAGACTCTTCCGGTTTCCCACATTGTCCGGACATTCCATGTACCTGTAAAAATTGTCGCTCTGGTTGTAAGAAGGTGCATCGGCCTCATGACTTCCGAAGGAACTCGGTTTTCATCATGAGACGTCATAATTATTCTTTCAACTGGGAGGGCAGAGTTTGAATGGTTTGAATAATTTTTTCTGGTTAGCGTTTTTTTAGCGAGTTGGTATTCTACGGGATGGGGTCGCTAACCCCATGCCCAACCCTCTCTTTTACCCGGGCTTGGGACCGGCAGTTGCTCCCGGAGGAGCTACGGGTGGAGTAAGTGTAAATAAAGTGTAATATGTAAGTGCAGTATGTAAGTTGCATTTACTTTACATAGTGATGTAACAAAACGAAGTTATTTGACAAAGTGAGTTTGTTAGGACTTACAACTC